TTGTTGGTCAGTCGAGAAGAGGACAACAAACAACAAACAAAAAAAACAAGAAAAAAAACAAACAAACGTCCAGGACCGGGATCGAACCCACGCTAAAAAAATAACGAAGTGACTATTTCTCCGAACGTTCGGAGAAATAGTGCCGATCTTTATTTCTCTGAACGGTTTCCAGCTTCCGGTCTCGTGATTTTTTGCCTATTTAGATCTATTGCGAGAGTTCGGCGCCAACTTTCATTCTGCCTCTGGTCTGGGCAGGAATACCGCATGGCAAGCCCACCTACAGACAACCTTCAGTAACATCCATCACACACCCACCACCATCATGCACATGTACTCACACAAACTTATACACACACTAACTAAACATGATCAGTGTGTAACTTTTGAACGTATGACGAACTGAGCTGTGGATGGAGAGACAGTGTGAGTGACAGAGCAGTGGAAAGGAAGATTGTACGAGTGTATCCACAGGCGACAGCAACTACAAGACGACGACACCGACCCCCCTGGCCTGGTCCACAGCTCACGAACGAAAGGAATGCGGCTAAGGCAGTGTTTTGCCTATATTATTATTATTGTCCATGGTTTGCAGGGTACAAGGGAATGAGTGAGATTTTCTTTGTGTGTGCCTGGAGGGAGGGGGTGGGGTGTGAAAGTCGTGCGGACTGGGATGAGCCGCGGGAGAGAACACGGGAATTGAATGAATGAGTGAAACTGAAAGAGAGGACCGACTCATGAGCCCTGGAGTGAACGGATCCAATGTTTCCATTTTTGTATACTTTGAACTGTAACAGTTACTGAATAAAGGCTGAAATAAAGCCCGAAAAACAAACACACACACGCTCCTCACTCTCCACTTACACACTTACTACATGTACCACACACAGACACACTGACACATGCACATGCATACACACACACACACACACACACACACACACACACACACACACAAAGGAGCACATTTTTAGGTCTATATCTATTTCAATTTTCAAGAGCTAGTCTAGAGATTTTTAGATGAGTGT